ACATGGAGGCAAAAACCCTCAATAAAATACTTGCAAACTGAGTTCAACATCACGCTAAAAAGATTTAACACCATGACCAAATGGCTTCACTGCAGGAATGCAAAGATGGTTCAGCATATATAAATCAATAAACATAATATAGCACGTAAGTACAATAATGAAAAAAATCACGATAATTTCAATAGATGCAGAAAAGACCTTTGACAAAACAACATCCCTTCATGATAAAATCCCTGAAGAAACTAACAAGAGAAAATCATACTTTACAGCTATATATGACAAACCTATAGCCAACATTATACCAACTGGGACAAAACTGAAAGTATTTCCTGCAAAATCAGGAATGAGATACGTCAAGGAATGACATAAGGCAAGAGGAAAAACAATAAAAGGGACACAATAGGAAAAAAAGAAGTCGAATTACCCTATTTGCAGATGATATGATCCTTTACATAAAAAGTCCCTAAATAAGCTACCAGAAAACTCATAGGTCTGATAAATACTTTCCAGCAAAGTACAATACCAACACACAAAATTCAGTAGATTTTCTAATACCAGTGAGGAACATGCTGAGAGAGAAATCAGAAAAACCCACTGACAATAGCCTCAAAAATATGATGCCTAGGAATAAACTTAACTAAGGAGGTAAACAGTCTCTACAACAAAAACTATAAAACACTGAAGAAAGAAATTGAAAAAGACACTAGAAGATGGAAAGATTTCCCCTGTTAATGATCAGTAGAAAACTGTAAAAATGGCTATATTATTGACAGCAAAGTACAGTTGCAATCCCAACCAAAATTCCAATGACATTCTCCACATAATTAGAAAAAAATAATCCTAAAAAATCTATATGGAAGCACAAAAGATCCAGAATAGCCAAAGCAATCCTGACCAAAAAAAGCAATGCTGTAAGTATCATAATACCTTGATTTCAAATTATGCTAGAGCCACAGTAACAAAACCAGCATGGTACTGGCCCAAAAACAACACACAGACCAATGGAATAGAACAGAATATCCAGAAATAGACACACACAACTATAACCATTTGATTTTCAACATTGGGGTCAAAAGATACGTTGGAAAAAGGCAGCCTCTTTAACAAATGGTGCTGGGAAAACTGGATACCCATGTGTACATTAGATTCCTATGCCTCACCCTGTACAAAAACGGATCAAGACCTTAACATAAGACCTGAATCTTTGAAAACAGGGAAAACACTTCACGATACAGGAATGGGTTGTGACTTTCTAAACAGGACTCCATTGCTCAGGAAATAATAGCAAGAATGTGACAAACTGAATTGCATCAACTACAAAGCTTCTGCACAACAAAAGAAACAATTACCATAGGGAAAAGACAGATTACAGAATGAGAGTCAATGTTTGCCAACTGTTTATCAGACAAGGGATAAAATACGCAGAATATATAAAGAACTCAAAAAAATTAACCATCAAGAGAATAAAATATTCTAATCAATAACTGAGCAAATGCACCAGGCACTGGTGGCTCATGCCTATAATCCTAGCTACTTGGGAGGATTGAGTTCCAGGCCAGCTAGGGCAAATAGTTCATGAGACCCCCATCTCCATTATAACCAGAGGAAAAGGGACTACAGAAGTGGCTCAGTACAGCACCTGATTTGCAAGCACAAAGCCCTGAGTTCAAACCCCAGTCCCAACAAAATCAATCAATCAATCAATCAATAGATAAATAGGCAAATGCACTGAATGGATAGTTTTCAAAAAGAAGTACAAATGGCCAATAACATGAAAAAGTGTTCAACACTTGTGGTTATCAGAGAAACAGATATCAAAATGACATTAAGTGGGAGGTATAGGCAGGAGGATCCCAAGCTCCAGGTTAGTCCAGGTAAAGTTAGCAAGACTTTATCTCAAAAACAAAACAAAGCAAACTGACAATTAATAACAAAAAAAGGGATGGGGGATGTAGTTAACATGAGGTCCCAGGTTCAATCCCCAGCCTCCCATAACCTCCCCCCCCAAAAAAACACTACATTTCCACATTACCCCAGTCAGAATGGCTATCATTTAAAAAAAAAAAAAGCAACAAATGCTGGTGAGGATGTGGGGAATAAGGAACACTTATACACTGTTGGTGGGAATGTAAATTAGTGCAACCACTCTGGAAATCATTAAGGAGGTTCATCAAAAACTAAAAATGGAACTACCAAATGATCCAACAATACCAATCTTGGGTATATACCTGAAAAATCAAAGTCAGCATACGACAGAGTTGCCTGCATACTCATTTTTATTGCAAAGCACTAGTCACAACAGCCATGATTGAATTAGCCTAGGTGTCCATCAATGGGTAAACACAATGATTTTTTTTTTTATAAAACAATCATGTCCTTTGCAGGAAAACACACAGAACTGGAGAACATCACGTTAAAGCGAAGTAAGCCAGACTCAGAAAGACAAAATTTCACGTTTTCTCACATATGTAGAATCCAGATTTGTGTGTATGTGTGTGTATGTGTGGTACTGGAGTGAACTCAGGGTCTACACCTTGAGCCATTCCTCCAGGCCTTTATTGTGATAGTTTTTTTCCGAGTTAGGATCTCACGAACTATTTGCCCAGACTGGCTTCAAACCACGATCCTCCTGATCTCTGCCTCCTGAGTAGCTGGGATTATAGATGTTAACCACCAGCGCCTGCCCTGGAATCTAGATTTTTTAAAAAGGACATGAAAGTGAAAGGAGGACTATTTGGGAAGAGGAAGGGGACCAGTGGGGTGGGGGAGGGCGGGGGGGGAGAAGACAATAAAAGATAATGGGGGAGGTGAGTGTGATCAAACTACATTATACACATGTATGAAAATATAATGAACTCATTATTTTCTAACATATGCCAAAAAATTTTTTAAATTTACAAGGCACATTCACATCTTAAAAGAACTCCACGTAACCCTCCATTTGGTTATTTCCGTTTAACAAATGAAGAAACTGACCTTCAGAAGTTGGAAATGCCCATTGGTGACAAACATTTCCTAATGCTTTTGTGCCAGGCACTAAGCCAAGAACCCATAAGGGAGATTTTACACAGTAAAAAACTAAAAGGAACTGTCCAAGGACACATAACAGGGCAAAACACCAACTATGCCCTAACTTTCCTCTGTGCCCTGCTCTAACTCCTTATTCTATTAAACAGCTGACTTGTTATCTGTCTCTACTCCATCAGATGGTTTTAAATTCACTCGTTTTCCTTAATTACTGACTAGAGACAAATATTTCCACCATCTTGAGGTTAGACATTTTGATCTCATCCTAAGACTGAAAACCCAAGAAATGGGGTCTACAAATCAAAGCTGCTCATCAAACACAACTTTTATTCCATGGCATGATGAATTCAAGAAACAGTCCTTAATTATTTCAAGATTTCAGAGTAACTCTGAGACCTTCAGAACTCTGTGGTTGTGAATCTCAGAGGACAGAGACCAGAAATTCTGTAGATCTCCTTTTTTGTGTGGAAGACTTGACAAAGACAATTCTAGAAACCTATTCCCTTCTCTCATAATAAGTCCAGGTGTCTTGTGATTTTAATCTGTATTCCATTTGGAGTTTGACAATGAACCTGAAATTGACTCTTCCCCTCTACAATTTACTGAGACATTTCTGAAGGCCAGCTAAGTGAAAAAACACTAACAAATCCTCTGGTTTCTTATTCCCAGGCTCATTCTACATATACATGTGGGAATATAAGCCCTACTAGGAGAGTTCTCTCTGGACATGTTGCATACAGAAAGGTGACCACTACTCCCTATGGGAATACTTCAAAGGGGGCAGCTTTCAGCTTGGTTTCTGAATATGTAAGAGGTACCCAGGGCTGTTGGAGTAGCTCAAGTGGTAAGAGTGCCTGCCTAGCAAGCATGAGGCCCTGAGTTCAAATCCCAGTGCAACCAAAAAAAAAAAAAAAAAAAAAGAAGCACTTAAACAACTTTTGCTGAAAAGCACTGACTCCTTACTTAAGCCCATGAATTAACTAAAAACAGAAAAAAAAAAAAAAACCTTGGCATCTGTGACTCCATTTCATATCTGTTTTTGCTTTGCTCTGAGCCATTCTCTCCTGCAGCCACCATGGAATCAAGAAAGGACAGGAATAAGTGATAACATCTGTATGAGGAAGGACTGAAACTACCCCTAAGGAACAGCAGAGACTTGCAGGACAGACCACCCTCCAAATGAGGGTAATTACCTATATCAATAGGCTGCACCCTGGAGCAGGAGAAATTATTTCTTGGAAACTAGACTGCCCCTCTCAAGTGATGACAACGATAACTTCCCCAGAACCCTCAAGGAACAAGGACTGAGATAATGGTCAACCAAGTCACACCTGATCAATCTGACCACCAGAACACACCTGTGACCGGAACTGTTTATGCATACTTTTGTTCCCTGTCCTATTTTTTTAAAGCTAACGCTCATGTCTATAACTTGAATGTGGCTCTGAAGATAGGCTGAAACAGTTACTTTGCCTTGTCCCACAGTGTGTGTAATTAATCTTCTTTCTCTGCCCTTCACCATGCCTCCTCATTTGGCATATAGGGGCGAGTGGCTGGACCTGTTAAGTGGAATCCCAGGAGTTTGGCTTTTGGAACCAAAACTCCAATTTCAAATACATAACGAACTCCTTTATGCTGTGTTCACTCATTACCACTCAACTCAGAAAGGAATTCTTAGCTATCTCATGAAATCAGAGATTTTGATAACAATCCCCAGGGAGTGTAAAATAACTTAAGCTTTTTTATATACTGAAGAAAGTCACCTTAGACTTATAAAATAGGATAAGCCACTTCACTTCCCAAGTAACTTGTCTGGTGTAGGATTTCCTCTTTTGTACTCCTCAGCTCCTTAATGGACTGAGATATGCTTTGAAGGGTTTGAACAAAAATTCTGTTCGGCTTTATTGCCTGGAAATCAGATGATGGACAGTTTTCTTCCCAAGAGGCTGGGGAACCTTGCTCACCTCACCTACCAGGGCTTCCTTCCCTACAGTCAGGACTGACGTGTAGGCTTCCAGGTACACTCGACTGCAGCGTCTAACAACTTCCAGGCCCTTGACGGTGATGTCCTGGCATCTCCCAGACCTAAGCCGATGAGGTAAAGCATTTCCAACTTCAGGGGGACAGAGGCTGCAGGACCAATTGAACAAGAAAAGCAACGTCAGCCACAGTGGTGATGAAGCGAGACATGGCAAGAGTGACGCTGGAGAACCCTAAATCACGCTTCTTGAGTAGGGACTGCGTGAGCGTTTTAAACAACCCCACCACTTTGGCCCAGTCACCCGCCGAAAGGACCGTAGAGAAGCCTACCCTCCAGAGGCAAATCCGCGCTGAGCCGGGGCCCACGCCGCCGGCGTCGCCCACGGTGCCGCAAAGCGCGGCGCTTTCACCGCACTTTACGACTAGCTGCGGGAGCGGAAGAGCGAGCCGCTTTCCCGGCGCGGGCGGGGGAGTGTCTCCAAGGCCGTCCTCTCTGGCTGTGGCGGAGAACCGGGGATGCCCACGCTCCCCGTAAGCCATGGCTCGGGCACCCCCTTCCCGGTCCCGGGTAAGTGTGACCCTCGAGCTCGCCGGCCCTGTGCGCTGTGGTCCCCACGCGCGCCAGGGGGGCGGGGGGAGGGACGTCCCTGATTTGCCCCGGGGTTCGCGAGGGCGCAGATTATTCCTCCGTCGTTTAACCAGCTGCTCGCTGGTGAGGTGAGGAGTCCGTGTGGCTCACTGGGTCCTCGGGTTGGTCCCAAGACCTCATCCCGGAATGCCCCCGAGGTCTGCCTTGGCCATCCGTGTTGGGAACCCCAGACCTTCCGGTACCCACGGAAACGAAGTTCGCTAGTGACCTCGTCCAAGTTCGCAGTTCAGCTTTCATTGTTTATCTTGGTACACAGTGTGGATTATTCATATTTTTCTGGTGCCGTCTGTCTTCTTGCATAACACTTCTCCTAAACCTCGGCTTTTTTTTTTTTTTTTTTTCTTTAAGGGTTTGTCTACCCTTCGCACTTCTCATTTCGTACACTTCAGGCACCATTTTTTTTTTTTCTTTTTCTCTTTGGCCGTACTGGGGTTTGAACTCAGGGCTTGTACTTCCTTGCCAGGTGCTCTACCCCATGAGCCATACCCCCAGCTTTTTTGCTCTGGTTATTTTGGAAATAGGGTCTTGCCTTTTTAAGTGGAGGCCGGCCTGGACCGCCATCCTCCTGTTTTAAGCTGCCCTGCATAGCTGGGGTGACAGGTGTGTGTCACCAGGCCTGGCTTTTTATCACTGGGGTGGGATCCCGCAAACATTTTTGCCCAGGCTGGCCTGGAACCCAGATTGTCTTGATTTCAGCCCCTGGAGTAGCTTGGGATAACAGGCACCTGCCACTGCACCCAGCTATTAGCCGGATGGGGCCTCTAGAACTTTTTGCCCAAACTGGGAAAATCTCCTAATCTCAGCCTCCCAAGTAGCTAGGATCACAGGCATAAGCTACTGGCACCCAGCTGCCTCTTCACTAATGTATTCCCAAACCGTGTGAAACAGAAAATCAAAATGTACCATTGATGTAAATAGAAAAACCTAAAATACTATACCAGATAAAACGGAAAAAACTGTGACCTTATTTAGTCACAGACTTCTTAAATATGATGTTAAAAGTGTGATTCAGAAAAGAAAAAAATAGTAAGTTGGACTTACAATAAAACTTGTGCTCTTCAAGATTTTCTCCCACACATTGGGAGAAAATATTTGCAACGCAGATATGTATTTGCAAAGGACGTGTATAAAGAACACTTAAAATGCAACAATAAGAAAACAACTCAAAAAATGGGCAAAAGATTTGAACCAACACCATAGAAAATATGCTAGTAGCAGATAGGCATTTTAAAGATGCTAGCCATCATTAGACGTAAGGGAAATAAAGCTTTAAACCACAGTGAGATATCAGTACACACCTATTAGAGTGGCTTTAAAAAAACAGAATGCTGGCTGTCCACTCCTAATATCAGGCATCTAGTATTTTGCTAACTCAAATTTCAACCTCTTCAGGCCTCTTCCCTTGGCCTTATGCTTAATTTTTGGCAGAAAATCCCCACTTAGATAATCTAGAAGAATATCAAATATAACATTCAAAGCTGAAGCCATCGTCTTCTTTTAGCTACTTTGGTTGAAGTGGGGGTGAGGATTGTAATCCATAAATCCACTCAAGCCAGATACTTGGGAGTTGGTCACCCCCCCCCCCAGGCATTCATGTCTGCTTGTCTTGTTTTTCTCAATAAAAACTAGCTACTGTCACTGTCTTGATTCAGGTCCTCATTCTTTCTTTGCTTTAGCTGGTCATCATGTTCTCTTCACATTCATCCTTCTTTAGGGGCCAAGGAGTTGTAAAGATACAATCTGAAAACGTCACTCCCTTTCTAAAAGACTTGGGAGGTGAAGAGAAAGTCTCCCACAAGGTCACGTGTGGTGTGATCGCTGCCTGCCTCTCCAGCCTCTTTTCACTCCATACCAGGAGCTTTTCTTCAGCAATGATGAGTGGCATGTAGTTCTGTGCCACAACGTGTGTTTTGTGCCTCTCTGCTGCCACCTCATTCTGAAATATGTCCTTTCTCTCCTGCTGAGGTGACCACTATTCGGCCTTTAACACTAAGCTCAGAAGTCTTCCCAGAGATCTCCAGCCCCCTAAAGCTAAGTCCCATGTCTCTGTTAGAGTAATATTGTAGCTTTCTATATAACAGATACATTGTCTTTATTTTTGTATTAAACCATCAGTTTCATGAAGCCAGGGTCTATTGTCTTTTTCATATTCTCTTCCCTAAGGCTTAGCACTGTGCTTGGTACATAATAGATATTGAGTAAATATTTGTATAGTTTTTTATCCACTAGTTCTTCCAGTACAATGTATTTTCTGTCCTATAAAGTGGGGTGGCTAGGTTCTAAGTGACTACCAAAAAGTCACTGATGAAGTATCAAACGTAAACATGCTTTGCTCATACCACTTTAGGATGCTGTTTGTATAGAAAGATATGACACCTACAGATACTTCATATGCACACTATGGGCTACATCAGTAAATTTTCCATTGTGCTGGTCATTTGTGTGTGTGTGTGTTCACTTTTGCTTCATTTGTTTTTCTAGATTTTCTCTGAATAATTTCAGGTAAATATACAGTAAAAGAACATTGCTAGGAAGAATAGATACAGTTTCTTTCAAGAAGTCTATATTGATAAAAGGCATTTTTGTTTGTTTAAAATAGCTATACAGGAGCTGGGCGCCTGTGGCTCACGCCTGTAATACTAGCTACTCAGGAGGCAGAGATCAGAAGGATTGCTATTCAAAGCCACCCTGGCAAATACTTTGCGAGACCCTATCTTGGAAAAAAAAAAATCACAAAAAAAGACTGGTGGAATGGCTCAAGGTGTAGGCCCTGAGTTCAAACCCCAGAAAAAAATAAAAATTAAACAGAAGAAGATAGCTATACAAGCAGTCAGGGAGTTTCACTGTGACATTTCCATGTATATATGTATTATAACCCGAATTGGTTCATGTCCTTTATATTTCTATCATAGTTCCCCTCTTGTGGTGATTTCAACAGGTTTAAAAATTCTATATTTATTCTTGCATAGGAAGTACATCAACCTTATTCACCTTCTTAATTTCCTTCTTTTAACCTCCCTCTCCCATTAGTGACCTCTCCTTAGTGTGACCTGTTATTCATAATATTGCTTGTATTTGTTTTGGGCTTATATTCCACATATGAGAGAAAACTGTGGCCTTTGGCTTTCTCATCCTGGCTAAAAAATGGAGAACAGGAAGGTAAAACGGATCCTGTCTGGGGCTTGGCACCAGTGGGAAGAGGGAGGATACAAGGAAAAGGGGTCAGAGGTAAATATTGTGGAAATACTTTGTGCTCATGAATGAAAATGGAAACAGACCTGTTGAAACTATTCCAGGAATGGGGTAGGGGGCATAAAGGAGAAAGATGGCAGGGTGAATTCAACTATGATATATTTTAAGAACTTTTGTAAATGTCACAATGTTCCTCCAGCACAACAACAATAATAAAAAATGTATCCTAAAAATGAATTTATCCTGTGTAGGCAAAAAAAAAAAATTGAGACCATGTGTTTTTAGGTACAGAAGAAATTTTAGTTTTTATTCTTTTCAAAATACAGCCAGAACTTACTTTTGCTATAGAATTCTTAACAAATCTACCTTTCTGCCTGCCTTTGTTCCTCAACAGTTTATACTTCTTGGGATTTTTCCAGAGGTAGATAGATTAAAACAATAATAGCAATCTTTTTCCTCCTCAAGCCAACAAATACATCTAGCAAAGTTGTCATTTTTGCATAACTATCCTATGGGGTTTTGAATATCTTCCCTTGCCGTTCAAAACAAATTTCAAATATGATTGTGTTTTCCCTAACAATTTTTCAGGAAAACTTACAAACATAAAGTTGAAGCAGTTTTACAGTTAGCATCTGCGTAGCCACCTCCTGGGTTCTTCAGCTGTTGATGGTTTGTTATGTTTGCTTTGTCACATATTTATTTATCCACCATACATGAACCCTTATTTTTTGATGTAGTTCGTAGGGATTTACAGACATTGGCCCATGTGGGATTGCATTTTATTTGAAAGATAAACTACTTTCTAGGTTACAAATTAGCAAAACAGGTTAGCCAAGCATATAGTTTATTAAATTATATCATTTCTTCACCTAACTTATTCTGAGCTTTGAAATTTTTCCTTAAAACAGTTTCTAGTTCTTAACACACATTGTAGCATTATTTTAATGATAGTGAAAGCAGAGTACAGGCTTCCTTGTACTATTATAGCAAATTTCAAGTCTTATGTGTGGCAGAAGAGAGGGATGATACAGAGAACAGTGATTTCAGGACCAAAAAAAGGAAGATGAAATGAAAGCCCTTGTTTTAAAGGACAGCAAGGATGAATTGGGCCTGAAGAGTTTTCTGCTTTATATTCCTACTTTCAGGTAGTAGGATTTTCACCCCAAGGATGAACATTCCTGCAGTTTTTGAAAGCTCTTGAAGATATTTTTATAACCCTTGTCAAACATTTTTAGCACCCTCACTATCAGAAATTCTTCCTTATATCTGAGAACTTCAGGCAGTAGTCATAAAATGTGAGATGCACATAGTCATAGGAAGTTAATACCAGTGGCTTTTCCAGTCCAGTGTCATAAGTACATCATATACCACTTTCATTCTAAAGTAATAACATAGCTGAGATGCTGCATTGCATTGTGGATGGATTGTAATTACCTCACATCTGAAAGAAGTCATCCTTCAATTTTCCTACTTGAGCCTGTTTGACTGTTGAAAAGAAGCCATCAGGGAACTGAGTAAACTCCCTCTGACCTTATTGTGAATAGAGAATATTATTTTACTCTGAAGCTGGCCTTTTAACCTACATGTTCCCAGAGATTGCCTTTGTTAGAGGAAGTCTCGATTAATATTCATAGAGTCTAGAGACCTTGAATTGATTGAGAGTCGTTATTTTCTTAACAGTTCACAAATAAGTGCTAATGAAAGATACCACTGCTTTGGAGAAGGAGCTATATTTACTAAGGTTAAGAAAAGACTTCATTAGTTTATTATGTCTGATTTACATAGGAAAAAAGTCATGCTTTCTTTACTGAGTGATTTTGTTTATTCATCTCCACATTTCACATAATGTGATGATGTGAAGCAGATACAGAATGAAGAAACAATGCAGTTTTATTTTCTATGGAAAATATGAGGAATTTTATTGTTGCCATGAACCCTGCCTTAATAGATTGAGAGTATCTCTGTGGAAGGAACTCACCTGTATTTTTAAGTGCCTCCCCAGGATGTTCCCTTATGTGCCTGTGTGTGTTAACTAGTTTTTGTTTTTGTTGTTGGTTGTTTATTTCTGAGCTATTTTATACTTGGCAGTTCCTTCAAAGTCTATTACTAAAAAAGTAATCAGGGTTACACAGTTTTACTTTTCTGCACTAAACAACTATGTAGTGTCCCTATAAGTTTTACTTAGTAAACATTTAAATTAGCCAAGATTTGGTAGGAAAAGGGGAATGGTTTCCCTTTCATCCAAAATCCACAGTTCTCTGTTTTTTTGAGACAGGGACTCGCTGTATAGCCCACGTTGGCTGAAATTTGTGAACCTCCTGCCTCAGCCTCCCAACTCCTAGGATTACAGGATGTGCCACCTTAGGCAGCAGGCTCCACAGTTCTTAGAAGTGGTCCCCCAGGCCCTACAGCAGCCTCATGGCCTCCCCCTCTTACTACCCTACACCCCTCCTCTGACTTCATCTCCTTTATTCTCCCCCTGTCCCAACACCTACAGACGTCTTTGTGGCTCTGGCTCTATTTTTTGAATCTTTGCCCAAGGTTAGCCTCCTCAGTGAGGCCTGTCCTATGTAAAGCAACATCCAACATTTCCATCACGTTTTCTGCTCATTTCCCTCCATAGGACTAACATAACTGCGTAATTCACTTATTTACTACATTTGTTTTCCTTGTCCATATTCTGTTAGAATGTAAACACCACAAGCAGGACATTTTTTGTCCATCTTATTTATTAACAACCACCTAGCATTTGTTGGCACATGTGCTCAACAAGTACGTATTGAATGAATGAGTAAACATCTATGTGTAGTAATAAAGTATAAATTCCTTGGAAGCCAGTAGGCCTGGGCAAGTTTGCAGACGTAGATTTTGGTGTCACTCAGACCTTGGGCTAGTCCAGGCTTTTCTACTGGGTAGCACCTTCCCAGCATTCCCTTCTAAAGCTCAGTTGCTTGTGTTAGAAGTAAGATTTATGAGACTGAACTAAAGAATACATAGAAAGGGTATAGCACAGTGCCAAACAATTGGTAAAGAACCAGTGGATGACAGCAGCTACTGATAAAGAGTTCGAATTAACTTTGTAGTTATCTACGGTGTTCATCTGATTATGAGAGTCAGCTCAGGCATCTACTCCAACTCACAAAAGTTCCATGGAATCATTTCCATGGTTCAGTAATTATAGACCAGTCCCCTGCTTATCCTGTATGGTTCACAAAGAAAAGTCATTTTGAGTGAACATACTTTTGAGGTGATATTCCTCGTCATTCTGTCATTAAATCCCATACTGTAGACCTGATTCGTACTAAAGAAATACTCCCTGACAACTTGTTAAGACTGGAAGTTGAAAATCAGTGAACAAAATTTGCCTTCAAGCAGAGAGAATGTTCTTTTTGGACCTATCGGTCAAATTAATTCTTTTTTAAAACTTAGATGCCCAAGAACAATTGAAAGGGCTGTTTAATGGTAAATTCATATGATGCTCTTCAGCAATGAAAAGGAGTGAACACTGCTACATGAAACAAAATAGATGGATTTCACAGAAGTGATGGGGTATAGCCACGTGTAGCAAAGTCCACCACATCTGAAGTATACCTGCCCTCCAAATCAAGATTCAGAACATTTCCAGTGCCCAAGAAGACTCCCTTTTTCTCCTCTTAGTAAGTGCCCCCCCAAAGTAACCATTACTTGACCTCTAGCACTGTAACTTGGTTTTGCGTGTTTCTTATACATGTAATCATGTAATGTGTACTCTTTCATGCCTGGCTTCTTTGGCCAGAAACTCATTCATATTGTTTTTGTGTAGCAGTGTTTTTTTCTTTTTCCCACTAAAAAGTATTCCTGCTATGAATATATCATGATTTATTTTTATCTTTTTGGTGGACATCTGAATAACTTAAGTTTTTTGAGTAACATGAATAAACCTGTTGGAACATTCTTGTCTTCTGTTTCACATAGACACTCACTTCTGATGAGTTTAAGCTGAGGAGTGAGAATTGTTGGGTATAGAGTATGTGTGTTTTTACTTTGGTAGACTGTACCAAACAGTTTTCCAAAGTGTAAGTTCACATTCCCTCCAGCAATGGCTGTCAGTTGCAGTTGCTCCATGTTATTGTGGACACTTGGTATTGTGAGTTCTTTTCATTTTAGTAGGTATGTGGAGATACCTCATTAAGATTTTAAGTTGTTGCTCCCTGATAATTAGCAGTGTTAATCACCTTATGTACAATAAGGTGATTTTGAGTTATTCATTAATTTTTTATTCTTTACTTTTAGTAAAAGAGTGTCACTTTTTTTTCTTTTTTGGTGGGACTGGACTTTGAACTCAAGGCTTCACACCTGTAAAGCACTGCTCTGCCACTTTAGCAAGTCCATTTTACTCTGGTTATTTTGGAGATGGGATCTCCTGAATTGTTTGCCCTGGCTGACCTTGAACTACCATCCTCTTGATCTCAGCCTTGTAAGTAGCTAGTATTATAGGCGTGAGCCATCAGCCCCCAGCCAGTATCACTTTTTCTGTTGGAAGGAAGTGTTCTTAAGCCAGTATTAACTGAATCCTCTTATAAATAAATTCATTTATTTTTTAAAGCAACAGTGCTTATTTTTCCCACCACAATATTATTTAGATATAGAATCTGTACTTAAAACTGAATAAATCTATTTGCAAATAAAGTAGTTTCTTTAAAAGGGTCTTAATATATGCCAAAAGAATATAGGTATGTCCTTGCTCTGCTGCCAGTAACTATCTGACTTGGACCATTTTACTGTTAGTAAAATGAATACTTTTAACTGGATGACTATTTTTTGAAGGTTTAACTTCTAAGTCACCTTGAGGCTTCAATAACTTCTTTCTGTGGAAGAAGTGGATTAGAAGAGAAAAAACACTAAAACTAGGAGTCAGCCAAGGTAAGCTCTTTGCCCTCCTGGACTTACTTCAATGAGAAGCCTCCCTCCTGCCTTTCCTCATTCAATGGATTTTCATACAAAACAGCAATACAGTTATTCCTATGGCTCAAAATTCACATAAGCAGAATATAAGTTTTTAAAACAATCTATGTAAATTATTCTTGTTAATTTTTGTACTAATAAATTGGATAGATTGTGAGCTGTTCTTCAGATGTAGTAATATTGTCTCATGATACTTAGTGTTTTCTTTATGATAAATCTAGAAACTTTTCAACCACAGTGAAATCCCTGCCTATTATCAAGTTGCAGAATTTTCACAAACCTAATTTTGTTGGAATGGATTTGGTTTGCATTGCTAAATCCTAGTAGACACAGGATATGATTCATCCTCACCTTATTCTCTTGCATTTTATTTTATTTTATGGTAGTATTTCCTCTTGTAAACCTTGAATAGCATCAGTTCCTTTCAGTATTTATTTGTGTGTGTGTGTGTGTGTGTGTGATGTTACTAGAGTTTGAACTTGGGAACTCACACTTGCTAAGCAGGCACTCTACCACTTAAGCCACTCTGCCAGCCCCTCCTTTCAACAACTTTTAATATCTCACTATTGTTACCTGTTAAATTTTCTGAAAATAAGAGCTTATTGGGATTGGATTCAAAATCTGTTTTAATCATGTCTTTGCTTCCAGCTGTTCCTTCTCTTCTTATATTCATTAAATAATCCCTGATGAAATTTCATCAGTAGTGCTTTTGACATGCTTGCATGGAGTAAGCATGCATAGCAACAGAAGCAGTAAAGCAGTGATTAAGAGTCTAGGTTTTGATGTCATGGGCTTTGGACTCAGAATCTAAGACTTGAGTTCTGGCTCCTCTTACTTGCAATGTGACATTAGGAAAGTTCCTGAGCCCTTACTCATGTAACCTATAAAATGCTAGTAATAAATGTATTTATCTCAAGGGACAGTTATGAGGAGTAAGTGAGATAATTGAGTGCTTTCAACAGTTTTTATTGTTTTGTTTTTCATTGCTGTAAGAAAATTGCTGAGGCTGGACAATGCATAAAGAAAAGAGGTTAGCTCACAGTTCTGGAGGTTCAAGTACATGGTGCCAGCATCTGCTCAACTGTGGTGAGGGCCTACTTGGCTGGGTCACAGCATGGCAGATGGCATCATGGCAGCAGCACACAGAAGAGGCTCACATAGCGAGACAAAAAGCCAGAAGGGTTTGTGAGGTCAAGCTCACCCTGTAAGCAGCATACTCTCAAGAACTAACTGAGGTCCCATAAGAACTGCCTTAATCCTTTCTAAGTGTAGTGTGGTGCCCCAGTGGCCCAAGGACCTCCCACTAGGCTTCATTTTTTAAAGGTTCCACAAACTTCTCATCACACTGGGAGCTCTGAACCCTTGGAGGACAAACCACATGCAGACGAGAGCAGTGAACTTTCCATAAATTTTAGCCGTCACTATAAATGTTACTGCCTTCAGAGGTTTTATGAGGATTAAACATGGCAATGGAAGTGTGTATTGAAAGGTCTGCAGAGGAGTACACAGTGAACATTAGCTAGTATTATTGCCAGACCTCCTCTGGCCAGTCTGACAGTTTCTGTATGTACTTGAGAACCACGCCCTAGCATCCACCATAAGAAAGTAAATTTGCAATTACTGTACTTCCAGGCTAAAGCTCAAAGCTTTAAAAATTATAATGTATCTGAAATTTTATCTGCAATGAGAATAGCAGGAAGTGGTAGTAGTAACTGTTAGTTTCGTCAGTGTGACAAATACCCAAGAGAGACGATTTGAAAGAAGAAAGGTTTATTTTAGGTCACGGTTGCAGAGGTTTCAGTTCATGACTGACTGTTTCCACTGTTTCTGGGTCATTGTGAAACATCATGGTGGGGAACAAATGGGGCAGAGCTGCTCCTGTCATAACAGCCAGAAAGGAAGGGGAGCAAGAGAGAGACAGGAAGGGGCTGGGACAAGGTACAGTCCCCAACGACATGCCCCCCAGTGGCCTGCTCCTCCCTCTGGGCCTCAGCTCCTAAAGTTTCCTCCACCTCCCAAAATAGCGCCACCAGCTGAGGACCAAGCCTTTAGCACGCATTCCTATTCAAGCCGTAACAGAAACGTAAGAAACATGAAGATTTAAACCTTTTCCCTTAAATAGTGGTGTGAGGACATATTTTAGTGACTAAGAATTTTGTTGTGTGACTAATTAATCCCCATCAGTAGGCTGGGGATGCTTGGGGCATAGTAGCGTAAGGCTCTGCAATTAATCTTTTCTTAGGCAGAAAAGCTGTAAGAAATCCTATGGAGAAATTACCTGGCATCATGAGCTGAGCGTGGTGGTTCAAGCCTGTAATCACATTTCCTCAGAAGGCAGAAATCTGGAAGGATTGCAGTATACGACCCATCTCTGGATACAGTAGTGTGTGCCTGTCATCCCAGCTACACGGGAAACACAAATAGGAGAGCCACAGTCTAGGTTGACTTAGGCATAAAGTGAGACCCTATCTACGTCAGCCAAAATGAAAAGGGCTGGCAGAGTAGCTAAGTGGTAGAACTCCTGCCTCACAAGCACAAGGCCTTTGAGTTCAACCTCAGTAATGCCAAAAAAAAAACCAAACAGAAAGAAATTACCCCGATCATGTTAACCTGGATATGTGCAACCCTCACCTCAAACATTATTCACTTTCCTGTTAACCTGTGCTTCTGACTGCCCCTCCCTGTATTCTCAGATTACTGAGATTTACTTGCCTTGTACCTCCTCATCAGGACCTAGGTCTCTGCCTTATTTCAAGAGATTGAACCTTGTACAGACGGTGACAGTCTTCTGAGAGGCTTGAGTTCTTGCTTTTAGCCCATCTCCCCATGAATGACTTCCCTTTTACCACCTCAGAGGTAGGCACTCACTTGTCTGGGTGACATTCAAAAAAGGGCATTGAGCCCCTTTGGATAGGTTGGGTACAGCTTTGAGAGATGCATTCACATAGACTCCATGGAGCCCATTCAACTGACAGGTGCTCTTGAACTCTGCTGAAGCCTGCTGTGCGCTTGCTTGGTGGTCTTTACTCGGAGGCATCTACTGCATTCTTGCCTTGGTGTTTATAGTCTTCAGGTTTTTTTCAATTATGTGATCTCATCAGCTTTGTATCTCACTCCTGGTTAATTTGTCTCAATTTTCATTGCCACCCATCGCTCAGTGTTACTGCTTATACCTGGAATACTCCTTCCCCACTTTTTTTTATAGGAATCTTATCCTGTAAATACTAGTTCAGAAGCCCTTCACCCTTGGTGTTTTCCCCCCTCACCTGAGCTGAAATTTCTTTCTTTCTTGACTTTTAATTTCTTTCAGTAATTTATTGATTTATTTAACTTGACTTGGTTGCTGTTACATGTTCATTCTTACCAGACTATATCTTTTAAGGGCAAGGGCAGAGTTTTTATGTTCTCTAACACCTGCACAGTGCTCTGCTTATCTTAAATGTTGAATGAGTATCTGTAGACTGTCTTGGTGAAAGTACTACCACACAGGAGGTGGCAAGGAAAGATATGCTAATGAACCACAAGGGCAGAGCTGGAAACAGGAAAGTGATTTGATAAGCTATTGTGGTGATCTGAACATGAGACCCCAGTCAATCTTGAGTGTGCTCAATGGCAAAATATGTTGAGATGTTTTGATTATGTAAATCAGTGTGGGTGACATAAACATAATTGAATTAGGGAAAAAAGGGTAGGGATTGATTAAAACCTGATGGTCATCCAAACTCGAACTTACTTCTCACTCCTAGAAGTTTATGTCAGATGTCAAGAAAATAAAAATAAATTCAGATCCAAATTAACAGTACCCTACATCCAATTTGACAGTATTTAAAACTTCTGGAAGTAAATTAAAACGCTCTTAGGTCTGCCATAATGTTTGATTACCGTAAATAAAAATGTCTTGGTGAAATTTCAAGAATTGGAATGAGCTATGGAATTTTTCCTCCCTCATCTAGGCAGAGAGTGTTGGGATTATTACTCGTTTCTGCAAATCATTTGAAATGCTCTACACTCCCTTGCATAGAAGCCTTCTGAGAGTTAGAGTTGTTTTTGGTGGGTCAGATTTTTTGACAGATTCTTGTACATGCATGCCATCACATGGAGAGGTCTAGCTGCGTTCCTTCCATGACCTGTGTGTGCAGTAATGCATGCTATAATAGAGCTGTTTGCAGGAAAGAGGAGAGCTGAGGTGGAGGCGGTAATTGAACTGAATGCTGCTCTATTAGCTTGGTCTAATTGTATTCTCTTTATAATATCTAGGTGCCACACGGGAGCTCTTTCTAGATGCTTGGTGGTTTAGAAGACTGGTCACCAGATAACCTGACCTGTTTTGTGTCATGGTCAGGGTGGACTGTACTGTTACCGAGGGGACAGAATTGCAGATGGCCTTCATCCTCACCCGCTCGTTAACTGGGTAGATCAGGATATCCTGGATACCAGTTTCTTAGCAATACACCAAAACTCTTGTTTACCTGTTTCTGGAATACAACAATCTGACTTGCCATTTTGTCTGCTTCTATTGGGGTTTAGGGAGAAGTGAGTAAGTAATATATATATTCCTAATTAGGACAGCCTTTCATTCAGATGCCAATTTGAACATTATTTGATGAGCATAAAATCCAAGTAAGTAAGTAGAGATAGTATAAGGAAATAGTGCTCTTTCACATGGCATAGTAGTTAATGGAATTCTTTTGAGCCTCATATCCCTAGGTGTCTTTTGTAAACCCTGTCTTTTGGGTTGGCTTTTTCTACAGTACAGTTGGTATTCCTGAGATCCTGGAAGAAGTGTTCAGCCTTATCATGTGTGTGGCTTCATTCGGTCTTCTTTATCCTCCTAGGCTCATCCCTCAATTGCAATCTAGATTTAAAATTTTGACTCTTGGACTGGAAGTGTGGTTCAGTTGCTGCTTTTCAAGCACAGAGCCCTGAGTTCAAACCCCAGTCCCACTAAAACAAAAAAA